GCAGAAGTATTATTTTAAGCAACACATTAAGTTGACGAAACACTCGAGACAAATGTAATTAAAGTCAGATCGTGTTTTAGACGGGCAGTGATATCATAAACCTGTTAATGTACGCATTCAAACACTTGTTCTGTTCCCAGCTGTATTCACCTTGCAGGTGCAACTACAGTATGTGGCGTTGATCCTGGATCAAGTGTTTAAGTCATGGATGTTTAAAGTTTAACTTCTTCATATGTCCAATAGTAAAGTTCACTTTTCATTCAGGAAGTATGACGCTACGCTGTCAGTACGCTTCTCCATGTTTGTGATTGGTCGAATGCTCCAAATACCACCCCTTTCATGTGAACGCGCACCTAACTAGATAGGACACGGCTGGCTTGAGCGATCCACTTGATAACCCGCGTCGTAGTACAGTTTAGCGAGAGCGCGTATGTTTTGGATTAGGCCAACTGGCTAACTCAAACATATCCAGGTTAGGTTGAACCAGCTTTGTAGTATAGGCCCCAGGTATGCTCAAAGATAAGCCAGCGCCTGCATTTCTGCGTCGGCTCAGGGTTCATGGAGTGGATAAATGTATCATGTTAATGTTCTACAGGGCAGCAATTGAGTCTATTATTCGTTATAGCATCACAACATGGTTTGGTAACTTGTCAGTTAAATCTAAATCACAACTCCAGAGCTTGATAAAAAGGGCTGGAAAAAGTGCAATGTTGATTTGTGTATGAATACAGTAGGGAACGTGCAATATTTGATTTATGTATAAATACAATAGGGAAAAGTACAATATTTGATTATGTATGAATGCAATAGAGAAAGTGCAATTTGATTATGTATGTGCAATAGGGATATGTGCAATAGGGAAAGTGCTGTACCTGTATGTTTCTTGTTTGTTTCTTTGCCATGTGATATGTGATCTCTGTTCTGTATCTATGACTGATTGACCTAAATGTGTTATGTTTATTTTCTCGATGCCCAAGACAAATTTCTCCTAAAGGAGACAATAAAGCTCTATCTTATCTTATCTTATAATTGTATTGTATGACAGAGGTTCCAGGTTGAATTGAGGCGGATATTTTTAATGTTCAGAGGTTGTTATGTTTAATATTCATGAGGATATTTGTCATTGATCAAATGATAATAAACAAACATTTGCATAAAGCATATTTGTCCACTCAGATGTTGATAAAAGTATTAAAAACTTGAAAAATATCCCTCTAAGGAACATTTAGAACAGATAAAAAATGTGCGATTAATTTATGATTAACTATTTTAATCGACTGACAGCCCTAATCAGGGTCCAAACATGCTAGGGGGGTTTTGGGATTTTCATGATCTAGTTATGGTGCTTTTTAAGTCCTATGGGGGGTCACAAATTGGATAATATATCGATTTCAAACCATGTCAGTGGGCTGACAATGTCAGCATCAATTATTTTGAAAGTGTAATACATAATAAGAATCAGTTGATTGTTACTATTAATGATCTGGACATGCAGAAGAGGCTAAAATTATCACAAAACATTGTCAACATCAGTGGCGAGCCGTGACTTTTATACCTAGGCCCTCTGACCCCCACCCCTTCCCTCGAGTTATTACGTCACAGCGTATACTTCAGCGGAATATCAAAACAACGGCCCGGGGTGCAAAACGCATCAATGAAAGCGACCCTCTACCACACAAAACAACACCTGTAAATAACCCTATTTGTGTTATTTGAAATTGAAAAGGATATTGCATTGTGTTTGTTACTTTCGTTGCAGTTGTATGTCTTAAGTGTAATTTGGCATGCTTTTATTTTGAAGGCGAGTTAACGCTGTTGACAGGAAGTTGTTGTTGCTATGGAAACAAGAAACGTTTCACAGCGGGCGGAACTTGTCATAAAGTCCGTGATAATAACACCCACCCATTTAGCGGGAAGATATGATTGGTCAATTGTACCGTCATTTGACATTACTCTCTCGTTCAGTTACTATAGCTGGGCCCTCTGTGAGTTCTAGCTGGACCGCCTGGACGTCCAACAGCTCCTCTCTTCACAGTAACTTGCAGAGACGAGCTTCTTTCATTTAACTCTTCACATTCCAACATAAACTGAATAGGCAGATTCGAAGGATTTATTTCTTTGGAAATGTTATTTTAATTACAATTAAATCAAATTATTTTGGTAAAACTAATGAAAAATATAACTAAAAAAAGATATTAAAAAAGATATAATTTGTTTTAATGTTTTTAAATATTATTTTGTAGAATATCTTAGGCCCTCACAGAGGGCCCTGACGGCTCGCCACTGGTCAACATTCATTTTCCATGTCTCTCTCCTTTCCATAACCTACAGCCTCTCTTCCATCTTCTTGAGTCTCTCTGTCTTCTTCCTGTTCATTACTCTCTCTGTCCTCTACTCTTTCTCTTTGTTCAATCTCTCCCTCGTTGTTCACTTTTTGCTCCTCCTCACTTGTCGCTCCTGCCATTGAATCAAAAGCAATTCAGCAATTTAGTTCATTTCACTTGTTTGTTTGCATTATTTTTTTATTTAAATCTGTTTTGTTTGATTCTCAAAAGAGAACAAAGATGTAAGCAAATTGTGTTTTATACAATTGTATGTTATTATGACATCATAACTGCAATAGATATATGTTGTTTTACAATTATGCCTATTGTAAATGAAGACTATTGTTATAGATAAATAGATAGATATGGGGTTGTTAAGCCTACATTATTTTGTGTGACTATACCTGCAGTTCCTCCCTGACTTCCATCACTTTCACTCTCTCTATTTCTCTCTGCCTGTCCTGTCTCTTCCTTACCAAAGCTGAGCTTTGACTGACGTAGTCTTTTCATTATATCTGAGTCAGTGTAAAAAGAAAACAATACAATGTTATATCTTCAATGTTTTACTCAAATTGAAATAAAAGAAAAGCATTACAACGTTTGTTAAAAGGTAATCCTTCTGACATTGGATGAATGTAATTAACTTTAGCTCTCTAGCTAGTTTATTCACGCAATTTAAACCAAAGTATAGCCTATATCTGCAATATAAGTTAGTGTGCATGTTGTCCGACGTCCACTGACTAACGTAGAGCGTTCACACAGGATCTGCTGCTCATATGATGTCCTGATGAACAGAAACACAAGTAGCCCACTGGACTCAGATCTCTAGATACCTCATCACTCCTCCGCTGCTCCGATACAAGTCCGGGCTGCGGTGATTTGTTGATACATGTCGTCTTCTTCTGTTTGCTTTAATCGAGGCTACGTAGTTATGCAGCGCCCCCATCGTCAGTAAATGGAAGTACTACAAATAACCCCGTTTAGTGCAATTATTTCACAAGTTTTGTTATACACAGCTCGTAAAATATTACCGAGGTCCGGACCTCGGTGACCTCAATGGTAGATACGGCCATGGCCCTAATTATTTCATTAAAGAAAACTGGCACAAAGACGAGAAAAGTGTCCACAGTGTGTAGCTTGTGCCCATGAATGAATGACAGACTGCACAGTGCTTTACCTGTCCGGTAGAGAGTAGGACATGAACGCTGCCAAGCCAAACAATTTGCGTCACCACGCCAGGCTGCAGCCACCACAGGAGAAGCGGAAATGGGAGGGACCCAGTTTGGCACCTCAGCTTAAATAGCCGGTGCCAAGCAGCGGCACAGAGGGAGAAGACCTCCGGTCACATCTGTCCACGCAGAATCAAACCCTCTGTGTTGCTCCGATACTTTTCTTTTCTTTGATTTATCCATAGTTTGCTCATCGAGCCGGGGGTCAGGTTATAGGCTCTGTGCACAAGATGGCGTCTATCAACTTCCGGCGGCTGAGTACTTCCGGTTTGAGTACAGAGTTTTGACAGCTTGACAGTTTGACAGTTATGTCACACCGAGAGCAAGAATGAGCGGATTTCGGGGTAAATAAAAGTGATTGGCCTTCCAGCGTGTAAGAAAGTCGGCACTACATTGCTGTGTGCCCCTTTGGACAAATTTGTCCCGTTATCAGAATCAGAATACCTTTATTAGTCCCACAGAGGGGACATTTGCAGCGTTGAAGCAGGAAAGAGCCACAGACAGCTTCGTGTTGAATATCTTACATGCGTTAAAAAGTACTAAGTTATAATATAATATGTATATAAAGTATATATTGCACATAAAGCACATATTGCACATAGTTTGACGGTATTTAACAGCAGCAAGTTACACAATGTTATCATCGGGAGATAAGTTTCCATTCATTTCGGCAAGCCTGGACAACAACGATTAAAAGATTTCTTGCTCCCAAACCAATTGTGTATTTCATTACAAAAAGCAGTTATACCATAGCCTACTATGTTTAGGTACTAATGAATTATATCCTCAAAACAAACGCACACATAAATAACAAAGGAACATATATAATTGAATAAATCCACAATATGATAACATTTTACAGATTCATTTAATAAACTTTTACAAAACATAGGTTGATACGGAGCCCCCTAGGAGACATGGAGATGAAAACAAAAAAATTCTGAACAAAAAAATAAATAAATGTTTTGCGAGATATCGCAAAACCTTTGCGAGATCTCGCAAAACCCCTTTGCGAGATCCCGCTAAAATGTTCGTTTAGCGCAATGTACTTCCAGCCGGTTCAGTTCGGCAACCTACAGTACTCTGGGGCAGCTTGTAACAGATGAAAGAGTCATGGAGGAGGATTTGGAAAGGTTTCTTCGCTCGAGAGAGGTCCCACAAGAGGACATCATAAAAATGCAAAGTGACAAGGTGGGTAGAACATTCAGTCAATTCACGGAATAAGTTACCGTAACAACACAGAGCCTGGAAAAGTCAAACACTTTATAAGTAATATGGAGGTAGCATGGCAGTTTTAATACGAACGTGAGTGACACAGTAAACTGTGTGTTTTTCTCATCATGTACCGTGCAGCTTAAAAAAATCCTTCTGTAAAAAGTTTAATGCTGACTTCTGAATTTGATAAGCGCTGTTTGTTTACAAGTTAAGTGTTAGGTAGGGTGACGTTAGTACTGTGTAGTAACTAGCTTGCTACCTAGCTAAAAATGCGTTATTTGTGGTACAAATAAGAATGGTTTTTGGTAATGTATTAGCTATTTTATTTTTTCAGGTTGACAAGGCAGTGCTAACCATCATGAATGATGAACAAATGGCAAAGTATATCACTTCATACGGTGACCGAGTAGCTGTCCTCACCTTCTGTCAACAAACAAAGTGCAGCACAGATAAAGAGACTCTTCTACAGACATTAAGAGATAAAATAGGAGCACGGAAAAGTAAATCAAAAACAAAAGGAGCATTGTGTGGTGCATCAGGTGTGTTTCAAAAAGAAGGTGAAGGGATGTCAAGACAAAGAAATAATGCAGCAGAAAAGACTACCAGGAAGATTGAAATAGGATGGCTTCATTTTCACAATAAGGAATACCAACAAGTGAGGACCTGCAATGGCGGGGGAACAAGACATGCATTGGTGGAAAAAACAACAGCTCAGCTTTTGGAAATGGGAAAGAAGCTATTCTTCCCAAATGGCCACTCAACAAAAGGGCGAGTTGAAGACTTTACCTTTGAAGTCTGTGATTTTAAAAGAAACCAGATCCCTTCAGATGACACTGTTGGCAGACTTTATGAACAAACCAAACTGAAGCTGCTTAGATTTTACATATCCACAAAAGAAGAAGCCCACCCAACAGATCAATCCCCATCTGAGGTAAAAACAGTTAGTGAAGATTCCTTATCTGTAGATTCATCTGTTGACATCACTGAGGGAGCAGACGCACATGGATCTGTTGATGCAGATGAATTGATTACAGATCTGCCGGAGCGTGGATATTCATCTGACAGCGACAATAGCGATCAGGTTTGTGGCAGTAGGAAATATAAAGTAACTTTAATGACAGGGACAGATGGAAAGAGATAGTGCTTGAATATTAAACTTCAGGTAATAACTAAATAAAAAAATGATGTACATGGATTTCATAAAACAGAAAGGTTCCATTGTGTGCCATCAGTCACCACAGTTTGTCAGCAACTTTCTACATAGCTATAGTTATGGTAGGCCTATTTAGCACACACTTTTGTCCAAGGCGTTACCAACATACCTTCACCTCTGTATGTTTCAATTTTACCAGGACTTTGTTGTTGACATGTGTGGTCAGACGCATTCCTTTCTTTGTGTTGCATATTTTTTTGCAATTTCATACTTTTATTTGTAATGCTTTGAAACACATCACTTATCTTTGAGACTCTGAGGGAAGATTGAAGAATATCTCAAAGTTATTGTACAGTACCTTTATGCTTAATAGGCTAATGTGTAGTCGTATGTATTTTTTTGCACACCATTTGATATTAATTGTGAAACATGTTTTTCTCCCTGCCATTATTACAAATTACTGCTGACAACAAAAGTTGTTTTTTGTTGCATTTCCAGATACAACCAAGATAAAAAAAACAAAGATCAACCTCTGACACTGTGACAGCAGAAGGTCCAAGACAATCACATCGCTCCCATTCAACCCCAACAGACGAGGCAGATACACTTTTATGGGATCCGGAAGATGATCTTTGGGGAGCAGGTGGTGATGAGATAGTTGTGATCAAATGGAATGACGTCACACATGAGGATGTCACTCAGGTAATGGGATCAGGAACGTTTTTGGGTAAGGGGGTAGAAATGCAAATATATGTATTAAAACCAAACCAGTAAACACAGAAAAGATTGAGAAATGTATTGCTACTTCAATTTAATCAATTACATACTGTAGTTTTTGTTAGATTTCAATAGTCAGTAAATTCGATTCAATTAATAAAAAAACTCAAATGTGCATTCCTACTTTGAAAAAAATGTACCATGTCCTTTTATTTTTATGGCATGTATTCTGTTCCCCGATTCTTCTTTGGACACACGAATGAAATAACCTACAGTGCTGTGAAACGCTTACTGTACTTAATGAAATATTATCTCACCCCATGTATATTTAGAGCTTCATTTTGCCATCGCAAATTGGTTAACATTTAATAGTTTATGCTGCTTTAAAACCTTTCACATTTCAACAAACCAAACAAGACCTGATGAAAACCTGTGGAATTCCACAAAGATTTTAATTTTGCACTCATAAGCCATACATGGTGGCATGCACAACTTCACAATTCTCCTTTTTTACGATAATTTCTATATCAAACTACCATTTGTTGTGTATAGTCGTATAGCAAAGTCATGCACAACTTGTATTAAAATAAATGGTGTTATTTAGCAAGCTGCAGTAGAAGTGGAAAGCAACAGAGTCCTTTTGACTTGTGATTGTGCAGTAGTTTTTATAAACACTGATTTGTGACTTTATTATACTCTGTCTCTGAAATTGAAGGTTTGTCTTTTTCCATTTCTTTTTTCCAAGTGTCAGTTTTACAGAGTATTTCTGGTTTTAAACAGAAGATGATGTTGAAGACTATTACGGAAATACTTTTGTAAATTACGGTCTGCAATAACGTCTAAGACTTCAAAGTGTCTGCTGTCAATGAATAACATACTTAATTCATCCTTCAGAGTGCGGAGATGAATGGAGTACCAATGCAGGATTTACAACTCCCCTTGTCCTCTGATTTTGGCCTGCCTTCGGCACATGTGTCCATACATGAGGATACAGTGCAAACATCACAGGTAAGATGCATCACTGCAAGAAACCCTGAACACATCCTTTAAACTACCGCTCTTGTAACATTTCACATAACTGTGGCCTGTAAAACATTTGTATACTGTCCTGAGAGCTCTGGAGGAGCTCGGTCAGGTATAAAATAAGTAACTTTGATGATGTCATACTGAAGTTGTCAGTGTTACCTCGGCTTTGAATTGAAGACAACAAATCGAAAGTCTGTGTTACAAACTGGAGGTGTGGTGGAGTTGGAAAAAAGGTCTTGTAAAAAATAGCTTTTGAGTTGCATTATGGGAAAAACATAGAATCCAATATTATATGGACCTTGATTCATACTCAACATTTAAACAATTAGGACATTTTGGCCTCTGCATCATTCATTGACCAATCTTGTTGTGTGTGTTTGTATGTTTCGTTCTTCTACTACAGGATTTGCTTTTAAATTCGAGCAGCCAACTATCCCCATCAACCTCAGCTCACGGCTCAGGAAATCCAGAGAGCACGCGACGTGCATCAATTCACAGGACAAAGGTTGTTGAAGATCTTTTGGCTGTATTTATGGACAGTAGCATAATACATTTGACTCTAAAGATGGACTTTGTAAATGAAAAAGCTATTGATGATAATGGAGTATCAAGGGAGGTTTACACTGCATTCTGGGAGCAATTTCTTGAAACGTGTGAAGGGGAAGCAGAGCGAGTTCCAAGGCTGAGGCCAGATTTCTGTGAGGCTGAATGGCAAGCAGTTGGACAGATCTGGGTGAAAAGATTACTGGACCATGGTGTCATGCCAGTGAGGCTATCAAAGGCTTTCATTGTAGCCTGCATTCATGGAGTCCACTCCGTTGATGTAGACATCCTGATGATATCGTTTCTCAACTACCTCTCTCCTGTTGAGAGATCAGCTGTGGAGAAGGCTCTCCAGGGCACAATGGAGGAGAGTGATGATGAGGACTTGCTCGACCTTTTCACAAGGATGGGTTCCCATTTCCTACCTGCAAAGAACAACATGGAGCCTGCCATAGAAACAATGGCTCATAAAGCCATTCTCCAAGAGCCAAAGTATATCGTCGATTGCTTCTTGACACCCATGTCACTTGTACAGTTGCAACTGCCAGACAAGGACAGTGTGTTGTCTCTGTATGAGAATAAGAAAGCCACAGGCAGAAGAGTGTCCCAACTGTTTGAAACAACCAACGTGGTGCTGTCTCAGAGAGAACAGACAACTTTCAACCATCTCCAACGATATGTGAAAAATGCTGACCAAGCCAAAGCTGAAAAAATCCTGCGTTTCTGCACTGGTTCTTCTGTCATATGTGTTGACAGAATTGGGGTGTGCTTTAATGCTGAAACTGGGCTCAGCAGAAGGCCTGTTGCTCATACCTGTGGAGCTACCCTTGAAATACCGTGTACCTACAGCTCTTTCCCTGAATTTCGCACGGAATTTGACAATATCCTGTCCAGCAACTACTTTGAAATGGATATTCTTTGAACTTGAGAGCAGTCGTTATCAGGCCTAATAGTAACAGTTTGGAATATTATTTGGATTTGATATTTTTGTTGTTTGTTTTGTCATTGAAACAACTGATGCACTGAACCGTGTAATGAGCAGTCTGCAATTCTATTTTCTGCTTTAACAAGGATATTACCTTTTTTTTAATACGCTTTGAGAATGACTGCAGTTTTCATTTTTGTCAGTTTGATCCTAACCCAGTTTAGAGGCTGAGATTAATATTGTGTGTTTTTTTTTGCAACTAAGAAAGCTAAACGGTGTTGTCCGTCACTGGTCGAATTGTTGATGTTATGGTGTTAAAGAGTCAGTCCTTTTTGATAACTCTCGGAAAAACAATGTTTGAAATGTAATGTGGAAAATAGTTATGTTAGATCCTGTTTGCAAAAAGCTGATGTTGAAAGTGTGAAATGTGGCCTGAAAAGACTAGCCTCTAATTACAAGCCCTAATATGCACAATTGGCCGTGATATATACATGATATTACCAACATATCACTTTCATTTACTGCCAACTTACCATGGTACCGAATTATAACTCAATGCTATTTTTTTAAGAAACAGAAATCGTGTGCATATGAAGTGACTTATACATGATGTGCAATGTTTTATTTCTCAATTGGTCTTAATATATTGACAAACCAAACTGATTAGGCACATTTTAAATGTAATCAGGTTGCAGGCCAGGATTTCACACTAGATAACAATACAACATTATTATTAATATTTCCACACTGTTAAAAGATCAGCTTGTGCTGTTATTTTCTACCCCTTTCTGACATTAAAGTGCTTGGCAACACAGGCATCACTGTATTTTCTGTGAATTACATGTAACTTGATGTTCGTACTACTTGGTTCTAGCATTAGTAAAGTCCTATACATTTTCACACAGACTATTTTTGTTTCACAGTTCGAAAACACATCAGAATCAGAATACCTTTATTAGTTCAACAGAGGGGACATTTACATTGTTACAGCAGAAAAGAGCCAAAGACAGCTTAATGTTACCTAAGAAGCATGCATACAAAAGTATTAAAGATAAACAAATTATAATTAAAAAAAAGTTAGACAATTTACAAAATACACATCCTGTAACAGTTCTGAGGATTTAGCAGCCAGGTATATATTGCACAGTTATTAACGGCATATATATATATATATATATATATATATATATATATATATATATATATATATATATATATATATATATATATATATATATATATTGCACATAGTTGGTTGGTATTTAACAACAGGGGGTGTTAGTCTGTGTGATTGTGTGTGGGGCGGTCTAGGGGATGTGCTGGTTATATAGTCTGACCGCTGCTCTCTCTCTCCGAGAGCCGGTCACTGAAGGAGCTGCACAGTGAGGACAGGGTCATGCCATCACATGTATATAAAAGGGGGGAGTGATGTTGACGAGGCAGTATTTGAGTCATCTTACAGTTCATAACACCTTAACAGGACTGGTGTCTACAGAATCTAAAATATTCAACAGCTTAGACTTTACTGACATATTCTAAATAATTAGTCAACTTAAAGATTACATTTCAAATTAATTATATGAACTATGCACACACATGACCTAAGTTCATCAAGCAAATGCAGTGAGTAGCATTACTACTTTGTGAAATAAACTACAGGCATAAGAGCTATATACTCCCAGAAACAAACAAGCAGGTCGGTGATGGTGAGTTCCAATGTCACGGTGTATATGTTTGTAAAAGGAAATATGGACATTTAATTGTCTACAAAATGCAGTTGGGACAAGGAGGTGCACTGCAGGGGAGTGTCCATCCTGTAAGTGGGGGAGGCGCACTGCAGGTGAGTGAATTTTGTACTGATTTAGAGAGATGCACTGATGGCCTCTCTTAGGTGCATATACAAGTTCACAGCCTGATATGGGTCTGTTGGTGGAGTCAGATGGGACTCGCCCATAAAGATGTGGCTTAGTTCGTACACATCTGGATCACATGGTATGGCCAGCCGAAAGACACATTCATTTTTGCACAGTTGAACGTGTTCGTCTTCAACAGGGGAAAGGTAGTCTCTTGTCCGGTAAAGGTCAGGCACAGCATACATCACATTTGGCCGACCGCTGGGGACGTTGAGGTTTCTCGACGGCCTGATGGTGTGCGCATTCCAAACCTGTGCAGTATCATCCAACTCATCCTGTCAAAAATAATGTATAATACATTTAGTAAGAACTGTACATACGCATCAACTTAAATAGAGAACAACATTATGGCATTCACACATAACCACAAACCCCGCCCTCTGTCTGTGTCCTTCACACTCTCCTCTCTTTCTGTCTCTTACTTTTTCTCTTCTCTCTCCATCTGAACTCACACGCACAGCGCATACACACAATGTATTAACTCACCTGGATGAGTCCCATGCAACAAAATTGAAGGAGGCTTTTGTCCAGAAATCCACCATCAAAATGCCCGTTGTCTCTGAGGTCTCCAAAGAAGCACAACCAAAACTCTGCGCACTCTCTGCGAAGAAAACCCCACCAATATTCGATTCGTTGATTGGCGGTGCTGGCTCCCTCCAAGTAGCTTTCATGGTTGCCATCTGGGCGAGTAGGTACGAGGAAACGCTGAATGCCTCGAACATAGCCATTTTCTGTTCCAAGATCGCCTCTCACCAGTCTAGGGCAGCCCCATAAACGCTGCACTGCTTCCATGTAATATCCCCCAATCAACTTTGGGTCACTACTTGTTGTGTAGGCATTAAGCCAGATCATTTTTCTTGAATACCCATCGATACATCCATTTATACAAATGCCATATGGCTTCAGTTTATCATAGGAATCCAGGTGCCAGATGAAGTTTGGCCCTTTGGAGAAGTAACGCCTTCGTCTGAGTCGTCCTGCTTGCCTTAATGCCACTCCTCCGGGATCCAGCTCCTTCAGTACCAAGCGCACATCCTCCTTCCTCACACGCAGTCCATGCACTCTGCATTTTGCGTACATCCAGCGGTACCCATGAAGCTGCCCAGAGTACTGTAACTGGTTGCGAATGAAATCCACCAGGACCGCAAGCTCAGAGTATGCATGTTGACGTGAATGTCCCCTCGCTCTGAGTATCCTCTTGAGGTGTCTTTCACTTATGATAAACCTGTGCCTATTGCCAAGCACTGATGTTATGTCTTTATATTTTAGGCCAAGCTCAAAGTAAAAATCGATTAACTGCTCCATTGTTGTGGTTTCTGTGTCGCTGAACTGACCCGGAAGTACATTGACCTAAATGAAAAGCTTTGCGAGATCTCGCAGAGGGGTTTTGCGAGATTTCGCAAAGGGTTTTTGCGAGATCTCGCAAAGGTTTTGTGCGATATCTCGCAAAACATTTATTTATTTTTTGTTCAAATTATTTTTTTTTTCTCTTCTCCATGTCCCCTAGGGGGCTCCGTAGGTTGATGTTATATCGGGGGGAAATACATATTTAAACATTTCAATTGGTCTCTGCATATTTAAGTAATGCTAGTTTATATAACAGATGAACAGATGTACAATATCCAGAAAGTAGATGCAAAAAAGATATATAATGTGTGTATTTCCAACATATCCTCTGAAAGAGTGTTAGTCGTTGAGTTAAGTAGTGAGCCATTCGTTTTGTTTTCGTGGTGCGATGTCTGCTGAGAAGTCCTTGTATGCCTCGCTGACTTTGAGGACATCTGGGTCTGGCAGCTCCCCCCGCACGGCCTTGTAACGTGTACTCCTTTGAACATGTTTATATGATAATTAGGACTTTCAGAAACATTTTACACTCAGACAACAATCACAAAGTTGTAGCAGGCTACATACAATTACTTAGGACAATAGATATGACCTTACACCGTCAGCAACTGTAAACTGCTTTGGCTTAGTGGAAGTGAACACCATGTCACTCACTCTGCCTGGTTTCACACCCTATTCATTACACAAAAGAATTGTCAAATTAATTGAAAAGGTCGTTGATGCAACATACTAAATCAGCTCTTGGCACAAAGGAAATACTCATTAAACCGTGGATTGGTTGTGAACACATACTGTACTTACCATGGTTCTTGGCTTGGGCCATCGCTGCTCTGTTTCAGTGCAGCTGAGGACAGGGGGGACAGCAGCCAGGTTGAGTGTGGAGTAGTGTGCGGTCTGGAACAGCAGTGCAACATTGTGGTTGCAGAGTGCTCTTCCAGCTACACAGGAACACTTTGCCACTGCAATCTCCACAGGTGAGCAGTTCTTAAAACAACATGTCAGTCATTTTACATTTAGGACACTGCTTCAATACAACACAGACAAATGAGAAAGCTGAGAGCAGGCTGATCAGGCAAGTAGTAGGTGTGGGAAAAGGCTAAACCATGTCAGGTTGTCAGTCACATCACATACACAGAAGTTCTGCTGTTTGGAATACTGTAATTTAAGGACATTCAAACAGATACGCTTGTATAGCCTGTCTCAGCTCTCTCAATGTATTATCTTATATTATAACTACATAAAATAGTGTTAGTAGAACGTTGAACAGCTTAACATAGATGTAGGGTACAAAACCAGCACTTACCTAACACTGGCCAACACAAATAATTGGACCCTACATGGATTATACTAACCATTCAGTAAAGAACAGCAGCCATCACAACCAGTTTCTGGGGTTTCCATGAAAGCAGAGACGGTTTTCAACCTCTCATTAAGAATCTTTGATGAAAGCTACATTTGGGTTTAGCTAATGTATTTATCATTTTACACGAGAGGGTTACAAAACGAAAATAAATCTGTAGCCCCTTCATGCTACACACACATAGCTAGCTACCAGTTGATGTGAGCAAATGTATTGTCACTATGTAATCTGTTGCAACACGTCAGCTAGCTGGGCTTTTTTGAATCCTAAATCACAGGTTACCTACTCTAGCCACATCAAAACCCCAGAACATGAACCTGATTGAGGCTTTGAACCGATGAACACTTTTTATTTTCCTCCCTACTACGTGAGGCTTTTCATGCTTTCTCATGGACCTGTAACAGCT